ACAGCACATCATAATAGGTTTTAGCTTGTGAGGACCTGGTTTCCAGTGTATATTCATATATTTTTCTGTGCCTTTCAATGGCAAGTTGCAAGAGGCAGAATTAGGGATGTTTACTAAAACTGGAACCTCCCAAACGGACTGTTCTTAAATTTTTATTTATTGATTGATTTTTAGAGAGGGAGAGGGAGAGAGAGAAACAAAAAAATTTTCCACTTAATTATGCATTCATTGGTTGCCTCTTACATGTGCCCTGACTGGGGACACAACTGATTGCTCTTAAAGGAATAAAGAGCACTATGGCAAATAAAATTTAGAGAAAGGAGTTCACTTACATGGTGAGCAGAAATGTGAATTGTTAACATCTAGTATGATTACGAACATATATACCTTTTTGGTTGTTGTTGGTTAATCCTCAACCAAGAATATTTTTTCCCATTGATCTTTAGAGAGAGTGGAAGGGAGGGAGGAAGGAGGGGAAAGTGTAACATAGCAGCCTGAGACTCTACCCTTCGGCCTGCTGGCGAGGTTGGTTGGTCCTCGGCTGGTGTCTGTCCGTTTCCCACACTGATATCAAACTTTCCCTAAATGGCAGTGGTTTAATGTGCTTCAACTGCTTGCTCAAACAACAAGGTCTATGCTGAATGCCTGAGTCTCTATGGGAGTCTTGGGATTGTGGTACATGCTAGGCAAGCGGTGCCTACATGAACAGTCCCCAACAAAACTCTCGGCACTGAGGCCCAATAAGCTTCCTGGACGATACCACTGGGCACATGTCACAACTCACTGGGCGGGACTCAGCATATTCCGAGGGTCTCCACGGGGAGAGGACTCATGGAAGGTGGCTCCTGGTTTCCTCTGGACCTCACCCCATGCGCCTTTTCCCTTCGCTGACCGGCTTTGCATCCTTTGGGGTAATACATTTTACTCACGAGCACAACTATATACTGAGTCCTGGGGGTCCTTTCAGTGAATCACTGAGACTGGGCGTGGTCTTGCAGATCCTGGACACGGGAGGTAGGTGAAGTTGTGGGCGCAGAAAGGAGTAAATATTGTAGAAAAAGAGAAAGGTGCGTCGATAAAATCGCCACATGAGCTCTGATCTCATTTCTATTCTGGCATCTCTGCTTGGATACATGCACAGAAAGACATCGCAAAGGATGGTGACCACGATGTTCGTGGTGTTACCTTGGGATGGTGGGATTTTAGGTGGTTTCTCTCAGTTCCCTGATACTTTCCTGTGTGGTTTGAACTTGTTTTTACAGTGAGCCATACTTTAATTAGATAATCAGAAAAAAAGATAAAGCTATTTTTTTTCATGAAAAAGGAAATAAAAACTGATGGTTGCAGATTCTTGTTTAAAAATAGCATCTTTGATGCTGTCTCTTTTAACTTTCCATTAAATCCTTACAAAAATAGAGAGAAAGTGAAAACATCCCGTGGGAAGTTCGGTGGCTGATAGCCTATTCCCAGAAGCTGACAGAAATTTCCACTAATTTTATGACTTGAGGAGTTGTTTAAAGAACACAATCAGTAAATTGTACAAGTCAAGCCCCAGACTGGTCTTGCCTGAGGCCTGGGAGGAAGCTCCCTGCTCCTATTGCACTGCCTTCTGGTTAGGAATCTGCCAGATCTGCATCCCACGAGGACTGGGGAAGCTTGCCCTCCAGGGCATTGGTGGTGGTTTCTGTGACAGCTGTCCCTTTTCTTTTAGAATCTCTCCTCTGGGTAGAAATTCTAATTTCTCATCAGAAAGGAAGCAGAGGTGCTGTAGAGAGGACATTCAAAGGAAGAATCCTCATAGGTGTGTATACTGAATTATAATTTTTTTCAGGGTTCTTTTAATTGGTTTTAGAAAGAGGAAGGGAGAGAGAAACATTGATGTGAGAAGGAAACATCGATCAGTTGCCTTCCACATGCATCCCGACGAGGGCTTGAACCTATAACTGGGTATGTGCCCTGACTGGGAATCCAACCCATGACCCTTTTGGTGTATGGGACAATGTTCTAACCAACTGAGCCACCCGGGCAGGGCTGGAATTACAATATTTATGTAAGGCTTGGCTGTGGGGTGGGAGGGAGAGGAGTGGGTTCTATTTATGGCTAGCAGATCTGTAATAGACTCAAGTCTGTGGGACACTGACAATTTGGTTTAAGAAGAGGATTCTACCAGCTACCACACGACAGAAAGTTCAGGGGACGGCGACTCTTCGGTGTATTATCCATACTGGGACAGTTTCGAGAGCGAAGGGGTACTGCTAAGAGTTACAGCAGACAACAGTCATAAACCAGGACTGTCCCAAGCAAACTGAGAGGGACAGTAGATCAGTACAAGTCTACTGGAGTTGTTTAAAGAACACAATCAGTAGATCGTACAAGTCAAGTAGATCAGTAGATCGAACCACGGTTATGCTGGTTCAGGTGCACCCTAAGCTAAGTCAACTTCTCGGACAGGTATAAAGAAGAAAAACATCCTGCAAAACAACAACAAAAGCATCACTGGAAAATACTGAAGAACTGTTATATAAAAATAATGCACCATAGCAGACAGAAAACAGAGACCCAAACCTGATGTACTAGCAGTAAACTGGGAGAGAAAACAGAACTGAGTAAAAGCAATAGAAAAACACACACCAATTAACAGAAGGAAACTGTTTCAGGATTCAACGGAATTTAGTATTTCACCCCAAGTTCTTCTGAATTCTAGGCAAAACAAATGAAAGTGACCAACACTTAGGAACTAGGAAGAGAAAACGTCCGTTATTTGCCCATGATAGAATCATTTTCCCAGGAAAACTAACAGAATCAGCAAATATAAGTCAAGAAAGGTTTCATCGAGATACAGGTCCACCAATAAAAGCCAATATTATTTCTCTGTGTCAACTCTGCCATGTAGAAAAATACAATAAAAAATTCACCGCAGTAACAGAAACAATAAAATATCTAGAACGAACCAGGAATTCATAAGGAGTCTCTAAGTCAAAGGTGATACTCTCAAAATGATTATTGTAAAAAATGTTAATCCTTTCAAATTTCAATGCAGTCCTAGGAAAAAGTATTGTTGAATTTAATGAACACGATAAACACACATTAAAATGTATACTGCAGAATAAAAGTCTATATACAGGTTAACTGACTTTAATAAAGAAGAGTAGAGAAGATGGACTTATCCTACCATCCACTAAGACATGCTATAATAAAAACTGAGTGGCATTAATGCCCAAACAGGCAGATATAAAAACAGAACAGAGCACTCAGAAACAGAATATACATATTTACCATATAATAAAATCAGTGGGTAAAGGACAGGTCGTTTAGTAGATGGTGTTGAGAAAACCTGCTCACCATACGGAAGAAAATGAAACTGGGTTTCTATCTAAAACCACACACAGGTGAATTATAAACGATTAAAGACCTACATGTGAAAGGCAAAGGTACACAGTTTACAGAAGAAAATATAGGACAGTATCTTTGTGACCTGGAAACAGGGAAAGCTCTCTCTCTCTTTTAAAAAATATATTCCTATTGATTTCAGAGAAGAAGGGAGAGGGAGGGAGAGAGATAGAAACATCACCGATGAGAGAGAATCATGGATCAGCCACCTCTCGTACGCCCCCTAGTGCAGATCGAGCTTGTGACCAAGGCATGTGTCCTTAACGGGAATCAAACCTGGGACCCTTTGGTCCGCAGGCTGATGCTCTATCCACTGAGCCAAACCGGCTAGGGCTGGGGATAGCCCTCTTAAACAAAATTCCAAAGCACAAAATATAAGATGAAATCCTGAAGAATTTGATTATGTCAAAATTAAGGATTCTGTTCCACAAAGCATATTATAAAAACATCAGAATGCATATAGAATAAGAGGATATATTTACAATGTCTAAAGTGAATATAAGATTTATGTATAAAATATTCATAAAATTCCTGATAATCAACAAGAAAATGATACCAACTCCAGTAGACAAAGGGACAAAGGATATGAACAAGCAGTTTATAGAAAACCCAAAAAGCAAACGAGTATTCAATAAGGTGCTCAAATGCAATGGTCAATGGAGAAATGAAAAGTGCAACAGCAAGTTATCATACCACCTACCAGTCTGGCAAAATGTATAGGCAGCTGGATGATACTGTAAGGATGTGGGCACACAGCGACCCCCATGTACAGCAGACTGGCAGAGGCATTTTGGAGAGGAACCTGGCACGCCTTATATCAATTAGATCTGCACCTACCCAATGACCTAGGCCCTTTTCTCCAGGTATATATGCCGGGGACATTCTCCCAGAGACACAGGATTTCTTTTTCTGTACACATAGAGTATTTTACACTAAAAGGGTTCATATGGAAGGTCTGCAAATAGGTGTAAGGAAATGAAAAGAAATACATGAATGAGTGAATGAAATGAGAAGGGAGCCCTGTAAGGTCAATGGGGATGGGTACCAGGATCTGAAGAGCAGCCTGATGCCAACATTGCACACCTCAGTCACTGCGGGTGGTGGGTAATGAAGGGTGAAGGAGGTTGTTTCAAACATCTGGGCAAAACTTTTGAATGACAAAATAAAATAAAAAAAGTTCCTCATGCAGTTCAGCTGAGGGAAACACCTCAGTTAACAGAAGAGACAAAAACAGGCTGTTTCAGGCATCTCTCCAACTTTAAATACCAGACGACAAAATGTCTCCAGCATTTTGAGGATAAAATAATTTGGAGCTAAGACAGCCAAATAAGTTTTCCTTGTGTGAAAGGTAACAGAAAGCACTCTAAGGTATGTGTAGATACCAAAAAATATACCATCACAAACATTTCTTGAATCTAAGAACAGGTTCCACAGATATCTGAGAAGGTACCAGCAAGGCCTCCTCCGTGTCTGTAAAATGTCCAATTACCTTTTGGAGAAAGAGGACGATCCGCAGGAGCATCTGGGCGCGGAGCTCCTCCAAGGTGAACAGCGTGCGGGGAGTGCGGATGAAAATCTTGGTCTTCCCGTAAGCCACGTCTTCCTGAAAGCCACACTGTTCGATCAGTTTCTTCACAGCCTCTTTGTCTGAAGGGAGGTCGTGGTTGGGCCAGGTGAATTCCGAGATCATCTTGTACCTGGTGAACCAAGAACAGGGCACGGATGAAGGGAGGAAAATCACGTGGTCTCAACAGATGCAGTAAAACCATTCCGTAAAATTCAAGATGTTCCACAGAAATGAAAAAAAAAGAAAGAAAAGAAAACAAAAACTTCTTTGGAAATTTGGAATAGAAGTAAATGTCATAGCCTGATAAGAGATGTGGGGAAAAACCTCCACTAAGATCCAACACTCCTTCATGATAACACCCCTTCCTAACGCAGGGATAGAAGGGGCCTTCCTGAATTTAATAAAGGCGCTGCGCCAAGAACTTCCAGCCGATATCATTTGTAAAGAGGCAACATTGGAAGCATTCTCTCTACAGACAGAAATAAGACAGGGTTGCCGCTATCACAGGTTTTCTCACCAGCACAGTGAGACTAATAAACAAACAGGTAAGTGATTGGGGAAAGTGCACAACGGACATTAATTATGCACAATATACTTGCTTCAGAGGAAACCAAGCAGATGAACTATTATCACGGAAAGAAAACTAAGCATTCTGCATATAAGATGAACAGACAAAAATCAACTGTGCTCCTATGTGCAAGTGGCCAACACTTCTGGGCCCCGTGGGCCTCTCACAGGGCAGCTCCCTACACACCAACTTCACGACACAGGATGTGAGTGTCAGCAAGATGGAAGGCACAGAGTCACAGCCCTTTGCAGCCTAATCCCACAAGTGACATCCCATCGTGTTTCCCATATTGCATTTTGCTAGCAGCAGATCACCAGGCACAGGCCACCCTAGAGGGAAGGGGACTAGACAGGGTGAATTCCAGGAGGTGGGGAACTTGGGACCAGCTTAGAAGGCTGCTTACTCCAGGGCTCCCCCTGACCCAGGTGCAAACTTGTTCAATACATGGAGTCAAATTTAGTCATGTTCACACTCTGCATCCGAATTTTAAGTCACAGCGAGAAAGACTTTGCCCACTCTCATTAGTCTGTGGGTATCAGGAAGGCAGGGACTGTGTTTTGTTCCCCACTATATACACACACACACACACACACACACACACACTATGTTGCCTGCCATCTGATGAGGAAATAGATTTGTTGAGTGAAACAAACAAACAAACAAAAACACCCAGAAGGAAATACATCTAAAAGCTTACTCACTTGCCAGAGAGGGACAGAAATAGAAACTCAATGAAAGAATTCTACTATGAAGAGAGAGGTAACATTACACAACATTATGTGGAAAAAGGAAACAAAATCAGAAACCTTACGAATCCTATATAATAAAAGGCTAATATGCAAATCAAACGAATTGCGGACCGATGGGTCTATGACGCACACTGACCACCATGGGGCAGATGCTCAACACAGGAGCTGCCCCCTGGTGGTCAGTGCAGTCCCACAGGGAGAGCCCCGCTCAGCCAAAAGCTGGGCTCACAGCTGGCGAATGCAGCGGCAGTGGCGGGAGCCTTTCTCAACTCCTTGGCAGTGCTAAGGACCCTTTGGGGGGTGTCCACCTGCAGCTTCCTCAACTCTATTGTTCATTCACCAGATAGTCAGATGCTCACGCACGGTCCCACATGGGGAAGCCTAGGACTCCATAATTCTGTGTGCTAGCAGGTTTCTTTGTTGAGACCATTCTCACCTGTGCAGAAACTTCTCGTACGCCTGGCGGAAGGCAAATCCTGCCCGACGCACCCTCACGTTTTCCAATAGTCCAAGGTATTCAACCTGATGCCGGCAGCGCTCATCATCAAATACCTGCGGGGATTTCTTGTCATTGGGTTTGATGCAACGTACATAGTAAGGTTCCTAAAGAAATGAATCAGCAAATGGTGAGTTTCAAAAAAACCACAGGCCAACGGCACTAACAAGCTAGTCTAATTTTAAAGAGTGAAATGATTCAGAGCTGAACTATGACGGACTGCCTACTTCTGATTCACTTTTATTGCTATGGCAGCCTTTTGGGACCCTGACCCAATGTGAGAGGGGGTAACCCCTGACCTCCTCCTTTTCAAGCCCTAGCGTCTGTGTCTGTCTCACTAGCCCCATGAGGTTGTTGGAACCACTACTCAAATCCCATCCACTTGCTCGGCAGTTGGCAAATTCCCCCCAGAGAAAGGAGGTCTCAAACCTGGGCTCATCTCCATGGCTTCCAGCCCAGGAGTTCTCCACTATCTTATCTCTCCAGTGTCTTTAAGCAGAGGTTTTGCATATTTTATTTGAGTTTCCTACATGTCCCCAGCATGGATGTGAGTTTAAATTACCTAGTCTGTGATTACTAAAGTAGAAGCCCTAATGTCCTCATTTCATACATCAGATGCCCAGAGACAACACCAGAACAAGACCACTTTAAACTAAATTGCTGGCCTGAACTTTCTCAGGCTACCCAGGTAGTAAGAATGTGGACTGCAAACCTCATAAAAGCTACCTTATGATAAATTCTCAAGGGATGTTCACCTATCCCCTCCTGGCTCACTACAATTTCCCTTTCAGATAATGAAGGATTGTTTCTAGTTCACTCTAGATGTAACTCTTAGAGGAGGCAGACTGTCCCCTGGAGACCCATACGTGTGTGCGTGTGCATGTGCGTGTGCATGTATTATCTCTTATTAGACATCCCAGTTGGGGCAGGGTCAGGGCTTCACTTCCAGGACCTGGTTTGAATTACTACATTCAAAGTTTACCTCCTTCAACAAATCCCCACGGGGTGAAAGGCAGCTTCAGTGCTGCGACTGTTTTTCCTTTTATTCAGTTAACTTCTGCCTTGACATGGCCCCTGGCCTGCATATTCCTTGCTTTCTTGTTAGTTCATGGCTGCATTCAAGAAGTTGGTTTTTATAACTTACCTCACATTTCAGTTGCCTTTAGTGGGCAGTATTACTCACATGTATTTTGGAGACCTTTATGTTTATGTTCCCCGGTGAAACTGACCTCTAATTCTACTTTCTAATATTAACCTGTACTAAGGCAATGCACATCTCGTAAAATGAGTCAGGTAGTGGCCTCTCTTCTTCCCATTCTCCAAACCAGCTTATATACGATAGGGATTATTGGCGCCTCTAAAGTTTGCATAATTTATCTGTAAAACCACCTGGGCCTGATGTTCTTGACAGAATTCGGGGAAGGCAGACTTCTGATTAGTGATTTAGAATACTTAAGATTACTGATTTATTCAGGTTTTCTATTTCTTCTTAAGTTAATTTTGGTAATTTACTTTTCTAGAAAAATATCTTATAAATTAATTGGCATAAAATTGTTCATAATATTCTAATGCTTTTTTAAAATACGTTTTTTAAAAAATATGTTTTTATTAATTTTAGAGAAAGAGAGGAAGGGAGAGAGAGAAACATTCGTGAGAAAGAAACATCAATGGGCTGCCTCCTGCACATCCACCCCTGGGGATTGAGCCCACAATCCGGGCATGTGCCCTGACCGGGAATTGAACTGGCAACCTCTTGGTGCACAGGGCAACGCTCAACCAAATGGGCCAACATCGGCGAGGGCTCTGATGCTTTAAAAACCTCTATAATATATGAAATTGTATCCTTTTCTCATTCATAATATTGTGTTTTTAAAAATCAGTTTTATTCAAGGTCTATTTGATCAAATTTCTTATCTTCCTATTACTTTGAATTTTTGCCATTAAAAATATTATTTTTTTACTTCTTTCTTCAGATTTTATTTGGAGTTTCTTTTCTGGCTTCCTGAGAACTTAGCTCATTAACTTTCAAGCTTCCCTCTTTTTTAAACAGGCATAACAAGTGGACCTCTTTTGCAGTTTCCAACAAATTTTGACAAACTCTTGGTCATATGGTTCCAGATATTTTGTAATTTTCATTGTTATTTCCTCTTCAACTGAGTTAAGAGAACATTTGTTAAGTCCTTAAGCACATTACATTTTTTTAATGCTGATTTTTATTTTACTTGCTATGAGGATGGAGTATATATCTGTACATACGTTTCTTAAATAGTTAAGACTTCCTTTGTGATCTTGCATGTGGTCAATTCTTGTAAATGTTCCACTTATACTTGAAAGGAATATATATTTCCTATGCCCTGGGTACAGAGTTCTTTTGATCTATTAGATAAAAGTTTAAATCTCGTTTACAAAGCTTCTGCATTTAAAAAAAAATAGATTTATTATTGTCTATTGATTTTTCGAGAAAGAGGGGAAGGGAGAGAGAAAGAAACATCGATTTGTTGTTCCACTTATTTATGCATTCATTGGTTGATTCTATGTGCCCTGACCAGGGATCGAACCTGCAACCTTGGTGCATCAGGGGACACTGTAACCAACTGAGCTACCCAGCCAGGACAAAGCTTCTGCCTTCTTACTAAGGTTTTGTCCCAGCTCCCATGTCTATCAGTTTGGGGTAGATTTGGTTTGAAATCTCCCGCTAGGACTGTGTACTTGTGCATTTTTCCTCTAAAAAATGTCAGGTTCCTTTGCTTTATAGAGTTCATGCATAATCATGGCTATGTTATTTGGCACCTAGTTCAAAGTGACTTTACTGTCTTGCATACCTTCATTTTATTATCAGTCTCTTTATCTGTGTTAATACTTGTTTATCTTTTCAATATATTTTATTGATTTTTTTACAGAGAAGAAGGGAGAGGGATAGAGTTAGAAACATCGATCAGCTGCCTCCTGCACACTCCCTACTGGGGTTGTGCCCGCAACCAAGGTACATGCCCTTGACCGGAATCGAACCTGGGACCCTTGAGTCCGCAGGCTAACGCTCTATCCACTAGCCAAACCGGTTAGGGCAATACTTGTTTTTCTTAAATTCCATGTTCTCTCACATTAATATTGCTTTTAACCGGTTTTTTTTTTAAATCTACCTCTATGTTTATAATATTCATGCAGAGTGTTAATTAGGTATTTTCACCTATCTACTCTGTTTAGTCTATTTACATTCCTGGTGAGTACCAACTATATAGATTTATTTCTATCACACTATTTTGTATTTTCTAAATGTAATTCACATGTTCCCGTTTCTGCCCGGCCATCTTCCTGCCTTCTATTGTCTATATTCTTTTGCTTATCCCTGCTCTCTCCCTCATCCCCCATCTCCATAAACATCCAGATTGGGAAGCTGTAGCAGACTGTTAGGGTAGTTGCCTACCTCACATCCAGTATCTTTCTCCTACTTTGAAACAGAATAGTTATTTTTAGCTGGGTGTACTGCTGACTAGAATAAAAATGCACTTCCCAAGCTCCCCTGTCAACGAGGTACAGCAAGTGAGATGTAGCTGAAGGGCTGTGGCAGACTTCCGGGAAGTCTCTTTATTCTTTATTTTTAAATATATTTTTATTGATTAATATATTTTTATTGATTTAATATATTTTTATTTTTTCAGAGGAAGGGAGAGAGAGAGAGAGAGAAACATCAATAATGAGACAGAATCATTGATCAGCTGACTCCTGCAAGCTCCACACTGGGATAGAGGCCGCAACCCGGGCCTGTACCCTGAATCAGGAATCGAACTGTGACCTCTTGGTTCATAGATCGACGCTCAACCACTGAGCCACGCCAGCTGTGCAGGAAATCTCTTTAAAAGGGAGGTAGCTTGCAGTACATCCATCCTGGGCCAGGAGGATACATGATAAGTGCAAGGATGGTGGCGCAGAAAGACAGAGGAACCTGGGTCTCAGATCACCTTAGAGCTGCCGTACCAGTCCCGGGTACCATCTCCTATACTTCATTTACAGGAGAGAGAACAAATGTCTCTCAAGGCTAAGCTATGAACTGGGGTCTCTCTCTTTTTTTTCCTCAAATATATTTTATTGATTTTTTACAGAGAGGAAGGGAGAGGGTTAGAGAGTTAGAAACATCGATGAGAGAGAAACATCGATCAGCTGCCTCCTGCACACCTCCTACTGGGGATGTGCCCGCAACCCAGACACATGCCCTTGACTGGAATCGAACCTGGGACCCTTCATTCCACAGGCTGATGCTCTATCCACTGAGCCAAACCAGCCAGGGCTAAATGGGGACTCTTAAA